AAATCGTAAATAGTTGCATGCAGGTCTCAAAGTCTATTTTTGTATCTGTTTTCTAAGATATTTCAATTCCCTTGTGGTAGGATTTTGGTCCCCTTCAGTGATTCTCAAGAAGATGCAGGGGAAGAGGCTCTTCACAAGTGTGAAATGCAGAGCACGTTCTGACACCTGAGATCACACAGGAAAGAAGCACAAAGTAAACCATTGCTTAGGCAGGATCCTGTCACTGTTGAAGCTTCTGTAGTAGATAATTTCCACTACGATAGTGGAGCAGACAGGGGGAAAAAAACATGAAATAAAAGTAACTTGAAGCCAGAGTTTGAGGTAATATTTGCCTACCAGGGAAGCGGGGCAAATTGCATGATATTGTTGCATTCCATTTCAGTGTAAGTGTAGGTAGCTAAGTCGTAAGAGTCCCAGTCTCCTTGTCCCTACAGAACACTAATAATCTCTAGCTCTATTACATTTTGTTAATAAACTGTGTTAATAGAATATTATGGTTGCAAAGTCAAGCACTCCAATTAAGAAATGCTAGAATTGAAGTTGCCTGTGCTTGACACCCCCCCTTCCGCCCCAGGCTCCGCCCCTACTCCACCCCTTCCCACCCCTGCCCCGTCCCCATTCCACCCCTTCCCCCAAGCCACCGCCCTGCCTCTTCCCCGCCTTCTCCCCCAAGTGCGCCCCATCCCCGCTCCTCCCCCTCCCTCCTGGAGCTTCCTGAATGCCACAAATCAGCTGTTTGTGGCACTGGGGAAGGGCTGGGAGGGTGGGGGAGGAGTTGGTACACTCAGTGCTCATGACTGTTACTGAAGCTGGGGGAGGAGCTGTGCTTTGAACATATAAAGTGCTATAAAAATGCTAAATATTCTGAAAAAACAGTCATAGACATCTCTAGTTGAGCACCCATAATTACTGTACACTTTTGACAATTTTGACCTTAATCTCCCTATGCCTCATACCCCATCTGTAAAATGGGAATAATAATACCACTTTGTCACTCAAGGGTGTTGCAAAGATCAATTCATTAATATTTGTGATGCATTCTGATACTGTGGTGAGAGAACCGTAACTTCCAGTACAAAATTAATTATATTCAGTGCAGTGTTCAGATGGTGTAAAGTAAACCAGGCCTGGGGCTACATCTTGATTAAGCAGTATACAATGAAATATTGAATAACTACCCATTCACAGAATGAGTCATGAGTCCTGTGGAAAGATGTGTGTGATCATATCATAGTCCGTCCGCCCAAGGGGGGAAAGTTAAGGTTTCATGGGCAACCTTAACACAGGCATTTCCTACCATTTGAATGCTTGACTTTACAATCGTAACCTTCTTCTAGAATAGGTTTTTAATGTAATTTACTATTTTTTTTAACTGAAAACAGAAATTCCATCACATGGACTCATATTGATCCACACCTTGAGTTATCAACAGCATCTGGACTGTTTGGGGCTACCTCCCTCTCCTTCCTTCTGGATGGTAGCCATGTCCTCTGGTTCCGCCTGCTACCCTCCTGGTCCATCCTGGTACTGACTTACTTGGCACTCAGGTAAGTAGTTAATAAATTCTTTATTATAGACTAGAGGTGACAGACACTGAAGCTGTGCATCGAGCAGACTCATAGTAAGGTAATCTGACCAGCAGATAGCTCCAAAAAACTGGTAACAACATACAATATATATATTGGCAATTGACCAATCAATACAGAGCTGCATGAGGGAACTGTTGTTAGGTAAACAGCTTAACCAATCAGCAGAGAGCCTTATCTGTTGTTAGGACAACTAATCAACAAATCAAAAAGTGTAAGGTAAACAGGTACCTTTCACATGAATCATAACCATAAGCAAGATTCTGAGACCTGCGCACCTCAGGCCAGAAGTCCTTTCTGGGCATGTGCAGACTCTCAAAGATCATCCAACGAATGGACACCTTGACTGACAGCCCCTAGGTTGCACTCGCTCTGCTGGCCATATCCTGTTAGCACAGCCTACATGGCCTTTTATACCCACAGCACAGATCTCTGCCACTTGAGCTGACAGAGTGCCTGGTAGCAGTCATAGACTGTTATCTTCTGTATGAATCAGGCACTAGAGGAAAATGAGACACATACTTTGCCAGTGTGTTTCATAGCAATTTGCTGACTGCAGAGGAATGTAGAAAATTCAGTACTCCTGGGTTCATTGTGGGGTCGTGTGCACAGACCTTTCAGCCTCTGCCTTTGCCTTGCCTCTATTATCAAGCCTTCCCTGGCTCTTGCTGCTTTCCCCTCCTGCCAGCTACTGTCTCTCTTCTTCCCGCCCCCATTCTGCTTCCCATCCTCCTTAATTCCTGCAAACATTCCCCACACCCATTCTTCACCCCTCTGTATTTCAAATCAGGCTGCTTCCTCCTTCTCCTTTCTGCCTGGATGCCCTCAGGGTGAGCACTGAGAGCACAGAAAATAATCATTCCATATCTGACCTCTCAGTACTCATCCTCAAAGGAAACCTGCACACCACCTAGGAGCTTAAATTCATAACTTTGCTAGACAGCAAAAAAATCAACGACTTAAGATACTGGGTTTATATCTCTTTACAACAATCTGTAGCCCACAAATTCTCCTTTGCCCTATGACTGCTGGTCTTAATGGCCCATTTAATTTTGAATGGTCCCTTGTAATGTGCTAACTCCTATGCTTAACAATCTGTTCCACCTTGCATTTTGCTCTTATTACCTTTCCCAGACCTGAAGAAGAGCTCTGTGTAGCACAGAAGCTTGTCTCTGTCTCTTCCATTAATTGAAACTGGTCCAATAAAATATTCTCTCACTTACTTTGTCTCTCTCGTATCCTGGGACCAATACAACTACAACAACACTGCAAATCTCCCTGAACTCGGTTCTGATGCCTGACTCCTCAGTGTTCCTGAGCAGGATGGCCCCAGGATTGAGCACGCTCAGTTGCTTTCTGGGATGGCACATGTGAAGTCCTGTCACATATAGGGCCGGGTTGTGATGGGATGGAGCATGCTCAGTGAGTTGGGGGTTTAGCAGTGGAGCTCTAACAAGTCTCTACTGAAACTGTGCAAAGTGCAATTTGTTAAAGGCTCATAACTTGGCCAAATTTGGGTGGCTTTTCATGGGAACAGCTAAAGCCATTCCCAGATACCAGGGTGATTTCTCCCAACACCCTCCCCCCTGCAATGTCAAATTGAGGTCCCTGCTCCAAAGCCTGGAGGTGCTAGAGTGTCTGAAGAAAATTCTCATAACCAGGTCATTAACATGGGTAGAACAATATGTTTTTCCCTAATCTCACTCTGAAATGGCTGAACTCCCTAGTACGGCTAGGAGACATAAGTACTTCTTACTTTTTAAATGCCTGAGAGCTCTTCCGCTGCTCTCCCTCAGGATTGTTGATGTAACTTTAGCTTGTGGGTTCGTTCAACCTGAACATTTATGGATGTTTAATGTGCCTTGTTTTGCATTGCACTCAGCTGCCTTACCTATAAATTAAGACAAATTTTGTGGGGGGGAGTTATTTCCTTGTTGTACATAAGATGCTGGGTTTGAGACATTATAGTTGTATCGTCAGCCTGCTAGTTAACGAATAGAGAGTGGTAGTGAGTGTTGTAGGAGATGCAGGGTACCAGCATATGACCAGTGCCATCCAACTCTATTTCCCACTTGACATGACACTGTGGGCTTGTCTACACTACGCAGCTTTGAGTGTGTGTAAACGCTCTTTGTCAGTATTTTGTCGGCACTTTTGTGGATAAAATACTCGAGCCCCACAAGCGGTTTTAGCTTTGTCGGCAGGAGAGCACTCCTGCTGACAAAGCCGCAGTCACACTGCCACGTGAGTAAGCAAAACTTTTGTCTTTTGCAGGGGGACATTTTTAAGTTCCCGTGAAAGACAAAAGTTTTGTTGACAACGTTGCAGTGTAGACAAGCCCTGTGTGAATGCAAGCTTAACAATTTTACTGTGTGCTCAAATTCTATTGAACTAGTTCAGTGTTGTGAACTCTCAGGATTTTTTCATGAGTTTCAGGATAATTATTCTTTTCCTTAAAGCCCCAGCTCCTGGAGTCAAGTGAAGATGTGATGATTTCAGCCTTCATTCTCAAAAAAATAAGTTTCTAGCCCTTATGGCTGTGAAGAAAGCTCCCAAATGTGACCCCGGTGGACCCTAAAGGTTCAAAAAGCAGAAGGCAAATAAAAAGAATACCAAATCTATGATTTTTACATAATCTCATGATTTTAAAACCAATCTCATGATTTTGGTGAGCCTGACTCCCGATTTTTAAACATTTGAGGTTGGCAGTACTGCAGTCTATTGAACTGACTCTGGCATTATCAGACATGGAGTCCTATCCTGAGGAGAGGTGCTGAGTGCCCTGGCCTCCCATTGACTGCAGTGGGAGCTGAGGTTGCACCACAACTCCTGCATTCAGGTCCTGATACAGGAGAGCCCCCTTTCCCTGGAGAAGACAGTTCAGCTACCACATGCAAAAGAGTTTTTCACTAGCACAAGGGTTGAGTCCCCAACAACACAGAGAGAACTAGCATGAAGGGCTTACATTGAAGATGGCTGCTCCATTGAAAGGCTAGGGGAATGCCAATTGACTATTTATCTCTTTTATGCTACGAGAAGACTTTCTTGCCATGTGAATTTTGAGTGATGTCATGCTTAATTCGTCAGGGATCAGATTACTTGTAGTACTGAAAAATAATTGTCCATCTGCTTGCATCCGAAGAAGTGGGCTGTAGTCCACGAAAGCTTATGCTCTAATAAATTTGTTAGTCTCTAAGGTGCCACAAAAATAATTGTGTATTTGAAATCCTGAACACCCTACTGCAAAACAGCTCCTCTGTCCTGAGTGTTTTCAAGCACAACTCAGCCTGGTTACTAGCACATAGGCATTAATTTATTAGCCTGGGCGCATGGACTTCTCAAATGACCAGGGGAAAAGGAAGTACAAAAGCTTCAGAGAGATGACAGACACTTCCTGAGTTTGGATACATTAGCTCATATATAAATGAAGCTGCTCTTAGACTCCATCCTCTTCTGTACGTGCTCTCCCTCCTCTGCGCTTATCATGGCAGGTGAAATAGTTTATGCTGATTTAAACATTTTGGGAGCCTCTTCCAACCCATTGCATCCACCTCGGCACCTCAGTAAGTCTTTAATTTCTTAGTTTTGTACTAGTATGATCTCTCTTTTCGATTAGAAAAATGGAATCCTAATGTACTTTATTATCTGAATTGCAGCACAGATAGCTTAGAGATAAAGTCTTTAGAACCAAGGAGCAGCTCTATATCCCATGTTCATAGCATGGGACTTCTGAGAATGTGAAATCTCCTACTATTGTCAGAACTGGATACAGAATTTCTTTAAAACATTATTATAGTGTGCATTATGTTAGTGCTAGTAATACAGCCACAACACTACAAAAGTAGCCACTGGCAGCCTAAGTATATACAATTACAGGTGCATTACAATACATTATTGTATGCCATCTTTCATGGATTGATGTAAACTAATGAATCTACAATTCTTACTATAGTGGGATAAGTTAGCAGGTAAGGAGCAGGGCATTGGTCAAGTCTTAGGAAGAGGGTTTGAACAGAGCAGAAGGAACCTGGAAGTCTCCAAGGACAGGAAAGATTTCATTGTCTCATTAGAGAGGATTAGAAGAAAAGAGGTGGGGAGCTATTTAGGTACACTGTGTCATGGAGCCTGTCATTAATAGGCGCAGAGTGAAGAAAAGGATTTATTAGCCTCTGGTTAAAGATCCAGTGTTCATTTGAGGAGGTTAGGAACTGGGACTGGAGAAAAAGGAGAATTTGGCTAATAGAGAAAATTATCAGGCAACCATGGGATTTTACACAGGATTCTGAAATGGGAACACATGATTCCCAACTTCCGATCTGTCTCTGAGGGCAGAAGAGGAGTAGACATGTTTCATGCCAAATGAATTTTGAAAAGTTGTAACTTAAAGGAGACTCTCAAGGAGGAACATAGTAGCAAGGATGAGAGGAGAGAGGGAAAATGAATATCTGAATAATGAAGAAATAAGGAACTGAGCTAAATGTTAACTTAAGGCAGGGGTTCTCAAGCTTTTCCATACTGTGACTCCATGTTACTACAAGTTTTAGGGCATCTATCCATGTATCCAAAAAGAAAGGGAGTGTGGTCCTGACCCCCTGAAACCTGCTTATGCCCCAGAGAGGCTAAGAATCCTTGACTTAAAGGGTGCAAAATGTAAGCATAAAAATTATAGTGAAATTTTTAAAGGATTTGCCAGAAAATTAGTGTTATTTGAAACTTTAAAATCTTGATGATGCTCTTTTAGAACTGATAAAATAGTATAGAAGTTAAGTATCATTTTTCAGGGTAGTATTGGGTGGACAGATAACCCAATCAAACTGGCAATTAGCCTTTTAAGAGGAGTATTAAACCTTTAGTTTTAAGAAATGATTTCAAAGTGGCATTGAACAAAACACATCTTCAAAAAGAGGAAAAAGGAAGACCCAGGAAATTATAGACCAGTCAATCTAACTTTGATACCCAGAAAGATACTGGAACAAATTATCAAATAATGAATTTTCATAGATTCATAGATTCTAGGACTGGAAGGGACCTCGAGAGGTCATCGAGTCCAGTCCCCTGCACACATGGCAGGACCAAATACTGTCTAGACCATCCCTGATAGACATTTATCTAACCTAATCTAATTTGTTCAGACCTAGAGGATAATAAGGTGATAATTAATAGTAACATGGATATGTCAAGTACAAATCATACCAAACCAATCTAACCTCCTTCTTTGACAAGGTTAACTGGCCTAGTGGACGGCAGGAAGCAGTAGACATGATATATCTGGATTTTAGCAAGGCTTTTGACACAGTCCTCCATGACAGTCTCATAAGCAAACAAGGGAAATGTGGCTTAGATGAATTTACTATAAGATGAGTGAACAACTGGTTCAAAGACCATACTCAGACAGTAGTTAACAATGCTTCACTGTCAAACTGGGAGATCGTATCAAGTGGAGTTCCATGGGTGGCTTTCCTGGGTCCAATACTATTCAATATTTTCATTAATGACTTACATGATGGAGTGGAGACTACACTAATATAATTTGTGAATTACAGTTTCTAGCTAGGAGGGGTGCAAGCATTTTAAAGGACAGGGTTAGAATTCAAAACAACCTTGATAAATGGAGAATTGGTCTGAAATCAACAAGATGAAATTCAATAAAGACATGTGCAAAGCACTACACTTAGGAAGGAAAAATCAAATGCACACCTCCAAAATGGCGAATAGCTGGCTAGGCACTGGTACTGCAGAAAAGGATTTGGCAGTTATAGTGGATCACACATTGAACACAAGTCAACAGTGTGATACTGCTGCAAAAAAGGGCTAATGTCATTCTGGTTTGTATGAACAGGAGTGTCGTATGTGTGGGCTTGTCTACTTGGGAACTTTACAAGCCCTTGTGCGCGTTAATTTAGGGTATGACTACGGAGCACCAGCTTGTCACACACTAATGTCACGTCTGGATGCACTTTGTCTGTTCTGAAAGTTCTGGAGTGTGGTTTGGCTTAGTGTTCTTCCAAACGCCTGTCAGGGATGGTCTAGGACTTGATATACTTAATCCTGCCTCAGCACAGCTGATAGACTAGATGATTTGTTGAGGTCCCTTCCATCCCTACATTTCTGTGATAAACACAGATTAATACCATCTCCAATTATCACAAAAAAATAAAATTAAGGGGGGTGTATTACCTTTTTTCAGAGCTTTTTTGCAACAAATCTGACTTTCTGAACTTTTTGTTTTGTGTTTTTGCCTTGCATATTACTTTCCATATGGCAATTGAATTAGTACAATAACAATTTTAAATGTCTACTTCTGAGCTTAATGTTTTCTTTAAATAGTTGGTGTTAAAGACAAAACAAGAACCCTGGAGTCTGATACTGATAATTCAATGCTTTTTGGCACACAAGTTCGGAAGACACTCTGTTAGCGGCATAGGAGTTGTTCCCACAGAGGATTTTAGGAGTTAAGATGACACATTGTTTCAGACATAGCATTACTGTCCCAGAGGGTTTTCAGCAAAGGATTCACAGGACATGCCTCTTACATGAAGAAACTGACACATTCAACTGTCACACAATCCTCACTTGTATAATGTTTTTCTACCACAATATTGGAGAGGTCCCTGCGTCCTAATGCAGGGCCGCCTTTGCCTTACCTGTCCTGATAGCTTGACAGGCTCCCTATGCTGGGTCACAAGGGGAGCTGATGGGTTGAATACAGATACAATCCAGTTTCTCCCCTTACAGAAGGGCGGGGGAGGTCTCCAAGGGGATGCCGACAATAGCATTGAGCTGTGGGAGGGCATCCTGAAACAGCTGTATAGTATGTGACACAGTCGGAAATTGTGAGTGTTGCTGAGGAAGAAGGGGGCTATTTGGTGATCAGGTTAGGGGGCATCTCTTCCCCTGTCATTGCTCCACATGTACGAGGCTCAGACTGGCTGCTTTATTTTTAAACTGCATTTAAAAATAATACACTTGACAAAGTATAATTAGAAGTTAATGTGGACATAAAGACAATGAGACACAGACACCATTATATGGTTCAATGTGGAGGCTGAAGCTTTATTTAAAACTATTACATAACTAGGGTAACTGCCCAGAAAGGTTGTCCCAGTGCGGATCTCAGTTGGCACGAATGGCCGTGGTGTACTACAGACTAGAGGGTAAAAGTGACAGTCATGCCCCCTCTCCACCCTCACCCTGACTGTAAGCCAGAGTCCCAACGCTTCCTCCATGCTAGAGACAGGAGAGACAAGATGAGGTGCGCCACAAGCTGCATGAGACACAGGGTATGTCTGCAGTTCGAGCTGGGGGTGAGATACCCAGAGTGAGGAGACAAACCCTGCACTAGTTCTGATCTAGCTAATGTGCTAAAACTAGAGGGTATTTTAAAAGCGAGCATGTGAAGCTCGAGCAGCAGGACGGGCTCACCACCCTCAGTACATCAGTACGAACCCAGCCGAGACCACAGGCACTCAGAGTGGCTAACACCCCTCCTGCCTGTCACGCTGCTGCAGCTACATTCTGTTTTTAGGGCACTAGCTCAATCAGAGTTAGCACAGGGAACTGCTCCCCCAGCTCAAAGCGCAGGCAAACCCCCTCACCAGGCAATACTGGGCTCAGGACCATGGCCCAGGCAGCCCACTGGGTTCTGGGAACCTCAAAACAAACCCTTTCTAATCTACCAACCACATGGGAACCTGTCAAAGTTGCAACAAGTATAATCTAAACCCAGATCAGCTCAATGCTGAATGGAAGGTGGAAAAAACCCACACAGCAGTTTGCCAGTTCCGCCATATGGCAAATATCCCTTCCAGTCTCCAAACTGGTGATCAGCCGAACCCCCCCACATCACCAGCAACCCACCAATTATATTAAAGGTGCAACAGAGAGCTCACAATAGTTACCCCACATAGGTAACTCGAAGCACACACAGGTAGTTTAGACACTGGTTTTCTAGCAACAAAGGACAGGTCTGTGTTCTATGCACCATGCATCTGGCAGGACTTAGCTAACCTGAATCCTTTACCACTCCTGGAGCTGGATACTAAATTTCTTTAATGCCTTGTGGTGCACTTTACTGCAGTGTAAATACAAACTGTCTCAGAAAATGGCATAGTCAGTGACCGGCTCTACATACAAATACAAGGGCCATGCTGGTATATTTTGATGACCCTCTTCTTCAAATTCCTCAAGTCCGATCTCTGTTGTGATGCCTACAAAAAATCAGGCAATTGATGGTGCCTAAGTTGAGTGATAGTTTGGGGTAAATGATTTAACTTTCCCAAAGGAGGAAACAAATTTCAAATTAATTAATTAATTAATTAAATTTAGATTTAAAATAACAAAGATTCTTACCCAAGAATCCAGGTATCCTAACATAATTATACAATTAAATTCCCATCAAACTGTGCACAGAGCTAATCTCTGTAATGTCTGATCTTATAACTGTTCTCCTCAGCCTCTCTCCCATTGTATCCTGTACTCAGTGAGAGCGGCCCTGGCATGAGAAGATTATGATACAGTCTCTTAGGGCAGGTCTATGCTTAAAACGCTGCAGTGGTGCAACTGC